AATGTATGGCTCAATCAGGTAACCATCCCATGGGTCTTCAGTTTAAACCTCCCAAACTGGAGCAGGAACAATGAAGCAGCTACTTCATATTTACAGCATCTGATCCTGATCTCCCAGCGACCATTTACATGCCCCTCTTCATGCGCAGGATGCATTCCAAGAAAATGGAGCCCTCAGCAGTAAACGGGGCAGTTTAATATTGTCCTTTCTGCCAGGAGTTCTGGAGGCTTTGGCACGAAGTGGGGAGATAGGGCTCCAGATAATTTGGCAGTCTGGTTTACCACTAGCACAAAGTGAGCTGCCTTGGATGGATGGATGGATGGATGGATGGATCGATGGATGGATGGATGGATGGATGGATGGATCGATGGATGGATGGATGGATGGATGGATGGATCGATGGATGGATGGATGGATGGATGGATGGATCGATGGATGGATGGATGGATGGATGGATGGATCGATGGATGGATGGATGGATGGATGGATGGATCGATGGATGGATGGATGGATGGATGGATGGATCGATGGATGGATGGATGGATGGATGGATGGATCGATGGATGGATGGATGGATGGATGGATGGATAGATAGATAGATAGATAGATAGATAGACAGACAGCAGGCACCTGTTGGCAGCTGATAATGGCATTTGCTTTGTTGAGACTAAAGAAATAATTGAAATCCCTTACTTGATGTAAACAAAGTTCCTATGGAGCCCAAAGGCAACAATATTTCATCTAACCTAGGTACAGCCCTCTCTGTGTCCTCAGAATCCAAAAACATGAGAGTCCAGAAATGGTGGAAATATTGTTTGGCAAGAAAACGTCTTGCCCCCATGGATGGAATAGAGATGCCGTTTATAAGGAAATGTTTTTGGTGATCATTATTTGGAAAACTCAACTGAAACAAAACAAAACATCCCAACTCATGGCTGGAATTTGCAGCTGTGTGTAGCTGCCTTTGCCTTCCAGTGCATGGATACCAGAAGCTTGGGAAATGGATCATATAATGACACACAAAAACTAGTAACATCAGCATAATTTGAAGAATTCCTCTTGTCCATCCACTTCATGGTGAAAGGATGGCTGGGCACAAAGGATAGGATTAGGGTGCCAGGGTTGCCTGATCTAAGAAATAAGCAGTAAGAAGAGTATACTAAGCAACCACTTTGCAATCTGTGTCACTTTACATGTGTTCTGCCATGAGAACACGTTGTCCCATTTTCTCCTATTTAAAACAACAACAACAATGCTGACCCAAAGGAAATTTGATTCTCAAAATTGTCTTTTAAAAAATTACCTTTCTCTAGAATTCTTTTTATTGCCATGCTCCAGGGTGGGTTATTCAGCCTGTGCTCATTGGTCATTCACCTCTGGCAGCTGTATACATTAGCAAAGAATGGAAGAAGTCTGTGGCTGTGCTGGAAAACTACATTTGATCCCCTAAATTAAAGCCATATGGACATCCTGAGGCTGCAAAAAAGTGCTTCATCAGTGACAAAATTGCCTACCACTGATTCTGAGTGAAGCATCAAGGGATGCTGGCAGAAATGCACTGTATCTGTTTCTTTTGTAGAACTCTCCAACAAAGCCAATTATTTTGCTACTTTACATTACTTTGATAGGCTGGAATGTTCATTCTTATTGATAGCAACTTACATCCTTTCAGTACCTTGTTTTGTGACCTATGGTAAAACTCTGGAAACTGACAACTACTGTTATTTCAGACAAATGAAATTTAAAACTTGCTTTTTTAAAAAAAAAGCACCATGGCTTCTGAATGAGAAGCGGAGATGCCAGCTTATTCCACAACTCAGCCCCATCTGTTAAGTGATTGTTGTGCCGACTGTGCAAGGCGATCCGGAGAGCTGGGCAGATGGTGCTTTACCAACCATACGGCTTGTGTGAAATGTGTAAGTCACAGCTTTCTGGCAAACATCACCAGTCTTGGAGTCATGTGACCAATCTCAAATATTGGTCATACAGACAGATTAAAATGCCAGAGTAGATCAATTTGTACATTAGCTGTCACAAAGTAAAGTTCATAAAAACCCATCCTCAAACATCGCTATTGGGTTAAAGCAACCTTCCCCAATCTGGCTTCTTGAAGATGAGTTGAACCATAATACCTATTATCCCCAGCCAGTATGGCTATTGCATTGTGGATATGATAGGATCTGCAGTTCAACACATCTAGAGGATCCCAGCTTCAGAAAGACTGGCTGAAAGGCACATTATGGCCTATCTTATACACTACATCAATATTCAGTGTTCACTGGTCACAATAAACATATGATGTGCAAAGCTTGGGAAAGTTATTTTCTCAGATGATACCTTTCATATCCTTGCAGCCAGTGCAGCTGCTAGTCATGTTGACTGCAGGACACTAGGAGTTGTCCTACAAATAGGGTCATCACATGCCTACATTTAGGGAGAGAGGTCTTTCATTTGAAATGTTGCCAAAGGACAACTCTCTTTTGGTGTCCCCCATTTGAAGGACAACATGGTCCAAATATAGTTTTTAAAAGCGTGCTGCTTAAAGACAAAGAATCATAAGAAAGGAGAGCAGGAACTGCAGGGTCACGAAATGAGAAGGCTGATGGGCTAGGTGATCACCAGATAATTAGAATAGCAAATAGTCTTAGAGAGAGGAGTTAAAGGAGTCAGCCACACACACAAGGATGTCTGCCAGCAGTGCTCCTGAAGGGCAACTAGAAGAAGAGGACCTCGAATAAGACTGCCCTGCCCCCAAGAGGACTGTGTTTTATTAACCTTACAAGCTCACAGATAGTTGACAGAGTTCAGATAGGACAATGGTTACTTAATGCCATTAGAACTGGCCCCAATAAAGGCTTTGAAGTTAGCTCCCTGTCACTTTGAGAAAGAGGAAGAATGGGTAGCCACGCCTCCTCTCAGAAGCAGCTGTGACGTCATCCAGGAGAATGTTCTCTACTACTGTAGAATCAGAGAACAGCTTAGCAACTTTGGGGAGGGGCGTTCCGCCACATGAAACCTTGGAGTTATCCCATTCATGTATAACAGCAGCTAGGCACACAGGTTACCTACTCACAGTCTTCCTCATTCGAATGAAATGCATTGTAGTTCTTTTTAAATTATATTTTAAAGATCACTTCTAATTTAGCATTTTGCCATAGTCAATTTTATGCGAATCAGAGCCCTTTTTTGTCTTCCTTTTTGGAAATTTGTAGGTAGCTACTACAAATCCCCATATCTTGGTAATAAGATGACATGATGAATACCAAATGGGACCATCTGCAGCTATTAGTATTCAGTGCATGTCAAAAAGCGCCAGTTTTCTAATGCCATGAGTACAGAAACAGGATCACCATGTGAAAGCAGCTGCATGTTACTGGATTACAAAAGCTGGTGGACATTGCGTGGTGCTTTGCAACTGTTTTCCAGCAGTCCCAGACCACTGATGGGCATATGAATAGGCCCTGAAAAACGAGTTTGGTCATTTGGCGAGAAATAACCTAGCAACAGATTCAGGTCAGCTTTTACAGATACTGCCTGCAGTTCCCCGAGCAGCAGTGAAACAGCAGCAGCAAAATCAATACATTTCCCTTCTGAGGAACAAGAAGGGAGGGGAGGAAAATGTAACTGGTCCTCCTTGTTTCCCTCTGGAATTAGTCTCTAAATAAATTGGTATAAAATCCTCTGCAGAGCATATCAAGCTGAAAGCTGTGAAGAGTCTTAAAAGTTCCCAAATTATCTTGAGTAGCCTCTGGGGGAAAATGTAAAGCTGGGAGCTTTTTGAAGCTACCCCACAATTGCAGCAGCACTTTGAAGTAACTAATGAACCTACTATATTAGTCCCTCAAGCACTTGCTTTCTGCTCATTGTTTTTATTCATCACTAAGTTTAATACCAGCAGCTAATAGAGGGTCACGCTGCATTGATACCCCACTGAGAATGGAACTAGTATAATGTTTGACACAGGCTGTATCCCCTGTCAAAATACATGCTCCTTCATGTAGTATCCTTTGTTTTACTTTATTTTAACTGTTTATTAAATTTATGTCTTGCCTTTCCATTAAAATTCATCAGTATTTGGCTCAGAGACTTAAGTTTAGAATCCATTTTACAGGTCTGAGCTTTTAGACCTGAAATCTCAAGGAAATGCTGCCCTCCTCACAACCCTAATTTTGGAGGTGATTCTCATGGCATCATGGCATGTCATTTCAACATACTCAGAATCGTTCTGTTCTTTTTCATTATTTATTTATTTTATTTATTTATTTATTTCATTTATACCCCACCCATCTGGTCCAGGGACCATTCTAGGCAGCTATCTTGCATGTCCTGCTACTGCTGGATTCACAATTATTCTGCAATCACTGCTGAAGGGTCTACCCCTGTAATGTGACAAAGTGTTGTGCCAAATCCCAGACTTAGCCCTAAAATCAATAATTTACATTCACAGCAAATTAAAAGATGCCTGCTTCTTGGGAGGAAAGCGATGACAAACCTTGACAGCATCTTAAAAAGCAGAGACATCACCTTGCCGACAAAGGTCCGCATAGTCAAAGCTATGGTTTTTCCTGTAGTGATGTATGGAAGTCAGAGCTGGGCTATAAAGAAGGCTGACCACCAAAGAATTGATGCTTTTGAATTGTGGTGCTGGAGGAGGCTCTTCAGAGTCCCCTGGACTGTAAGGAGAAAAAACTTATCCATTCTGAAGGAAATCAACCCTGAGTGCTCACTGGAAGGACATATCCTGAAGCGGAGGCTCCAATACTTTGGCCATCTGATGAGAAGAGAAGACTCCCTAGAAAAGACGCTGATGTTAGGAAAGTGTGAAGGCAAGAGAAGGGGACGACAGAGGATGAGATGGTTGGATAGTGTCATCAAAGCGACCAACATGAATTTGACCCAACTCCGGGAGGCAGTGGAAGACAGGAGGGCCTGGCGTGTTCTGGTCCATGGGGTTATGAAAAGTCGGACACGACTAAACGACTGAACAACAACAAATATCATACTTAGGAAATTTATTGATAAAAATACTTCGTATAAACAAATACATTGGAAAGTAAGAGTGTTGTGCTACTTCTACCATTGCTGCTTTTTCAACAGAAGTATAACTGAGGAGTATTTGGACTTGAGAAAACTACAGCCACAATTTTTTTCTGAGTACAGTATTTATATTTTCTGCAAATTCATGAAATCTGAGAATTACATGCTGAAATAATGGTCCCCCCCAGTTCAGATTTAACCACAATCATGTCCACCAAGAATTGCTGATTTCAACAGTAACATTGGAAACACTGAGTAAGAAATGAAGGGAAAGTTACTATCAACTTCATACATTAGAAATCTATTCCTCTGGCTAGAATGAAGAATAATAGCCCGAGTAGTGTTCTTAACTAATGATCTGATCTGTCAAGTTGCTCATTTGCTTACCAACTACTCATAGTATATGGGAAGGATGGCCTTGCAATCAGAGTGACTTTTCTGGTTTCTCAAAAAAAAAGGGAAATGTTAAAATTATTGCATACAATATATGCTTCCCATTGTAGAAACGTATTTGTTCTTTTAAAAAATGTTTCTGTATCAGTATTGAAAAGTTTCCTTTATTATTTTCAGTAAACAAACACATATGTATGCACTGCATTTTTTCCTTTTTTTTTTACAATCAGTTGTAATAGGAGTATCCACTTCTGACACAGAAAATGGAATTGCAAATGAAACACATTAAGTGCTACATAACCCAGAGGAGAATTTTCATCTGCTTTTTATGTGTGCTGCCTGCATTTCATCCAGGACATTTCTGATGGATTCTACACAAACTTTTCCTCTGTGATCTTTCAAGCTGGCTTGCCTCCATATTTCATCAAAGCTTTCATCTGAAAGTTGGACACCAATATTGCGCAGAATGCGGGCAATCTGTGAAATAATATACATTATTATTAATCAAAGCAAATTAATTAATTTATGTGATACATATTGTAACTTCCATATTTTCTATCACCTACTTATAAAATTATAGGTTATTATAGATTCAATCCCAGGTAGCTGGCCCGAGGTTCACTCAGCCTTCTTTCCCTCTGAGGTCAGCAACTGAGTACCCAGCTTGCTGCAGGGGACAATTGGTAGCCTGCATATTTAATTGGAAACTGCCCTGACAGTGCTGTAAGCACTGTAGGGAGGTATATAAACAGCATGCGTTGATTTATATATACTCATTGTCCAAATTACTTTACCCAAGTTAGGTATTAGAGATGATATTAATGAGAGTTTCTTAAATGAGGAGAATTCAAACGATAATACCTTGGCATTTAAAGTCTTTCATGATTTGGGTTCTTGGGACCTGTCCAAGTGCCTCTCTCTTAAATTGTTTACCTGTCCACCTCTCATACTGGGATGTTTTAAGCGGCTACACCATGGAGACCCAGAAATCTGCTACTCAAAACCAGGCATTCTTTGTAATGACCACATTGCTTTGGAATTCTCTCCCATCAGAGGTGTGACAGGCCCCATATCCCTCCTTGGTTTTAGGAGGCAACGTAAGACCTGACTCTTTTTGCAAGCCTTTTCATAGCCTTGCCTCAGATTAAGTAATTTTAAATTAATTTTGATTGCTTTTTGGCTCTGTTTCTTTATTAGTTCTATTGTGAATTTATGTACTTCTCTCTGCGGCCATCTTTTGTTTTTATTTTCATTTTTTGTAATGTTACTCTGCTTAATGTTGTTGTATTTTCAGTAACCATGCTTACTATGATCCCTTTTCTGTATTTTTTCTGATTTTTGTTATTGTTGCATTTATTTAGGATAGAAATGCAAACAAGTAAGCAAACAAACAAACTGCATTTTGCTTATCTGGACTTGCACTACATCCCTAATCCATTTCAGAGATGGATTGTAAGAATGAAATTTCAAAATATTTGTTTCTGGATCAATGTACTGTACCTCTTCTTTTGATCTTGTCTTGAAGAAGTCTTTTTCATACACTCCTTTGTTGCTATATATAGAAGGATATAACAATGCATAAGCAGTTGCTTGATCACCATAATTAGTATTGTCACTGATGCGACGAAATTGTGGGGCAGGAATGTCTGAACGAATAGTTGGAACACCATAGAGTGGGTAAACTGTAGGAAAGCACAAGAAAAAGATTGAAGTATTATGTACAAGGCCGATATTTATGCAGAATGAGGCTGCACAATGTTACTGAAGCAAAGATGAAGCACACCAACCAAAAGTAATCTTTAAAACTCAGTAAAAACATATTGTTTATTTATTTAATGTGCTGCCTTTCACTATGACTGGGACCCAAAGTGGCTTACAATGCTATTTTTAAAAAAATAATAGTTCCACTAAAATGCAGAGTTTATACATATTAAATCCATTATTGTATTGAAATGTGATTCAAATCAAAATACTTTAAAACATCTGATGTAGAATACTTTTAATACAATGTATACCTGCCTTAATAGTTAAAAAAAAAACACTGGCTCTTCCAGTTGGTATTATGTTCTTACTAGGCCCTCAGTTGTCAACAGGAAAGGGCCACTTTGGCCTTTGCAGAACATTCTAAAGCTTTGGAGGACCCAGATAAGGTCCCCCTCCACATTCCGCAACAGACAACACTCTGATGATTGCAGGACTGAGGAGAAAGGCCTTTTCTATAGTCGCAGAGCTTGAATAGGCTAGTACATGACAAGAAAATCTTTCAGATAGCCTGGACTCAAATCATGAATAAAGTTATGGGTAATAACCAGCACTTTCAGTTGTGCTCAGAAATGGGCTGGAATATTTTACTTCAAATTTAACTGGAGGCATATTTAGAAAAGATACAGTGAAAGGCAAGATTCTTGTACTAGGAACAAACTCAGCACAAAATTAAACACTTTTTACTGATTTCAGTGAAAGAAAAAAATGGTTCTCCTTATTTTTATTTACATAGTTATTTGCTGTAATCTTAACTTGCCTAGATTATATAAACTTTCCAAAAGTGGTGTCAAGAAACTGGAAAATAGGGAGTTAATGGTTTCAATTGCCCTTTGAAATATAGGCCTGTTGACTCAAGCCTGGGATAATAGGCCAGGAGAGGCAGAGAGAAACTGCCTGTTAATTGGGAGGCTTTGCCATCTGTGTCTTATGTCCCTAAGAAGGAATTTCCAAGGTCATAACTCACTCCTGGTATGAGCTGATTAATAGAATTGGTTTCAGCTGAAGAGAAGGGGAGAGAGTGATAGAAAAGTTTTCTCTTCTTCAAAAAGTGTTTGGGGCAATTCGATGGCTGATTGGTGCATCCCCTTGAAGGGTCTAGAATGATGGTTCTCAACTTTAGGTCCACAAATGTTCCTGGAATACAACTCCCAGAAATCTTGGCAGGCACAGCTAATGGTGAAGACTTCTTGGAGATTTACTCCTAAACATCTAGGGACTAAAGGTTGGGAATCACTGGTCTAGAAGATGAAATGATGGGTATAAAAATGGAGAGTTTGCTTCATTTAGCTTAGTCTCTCTAAGGAGAACACTATGCTCACTTGCTGTCTCGCTGCCTGATTCATACTCTGTGTATGCTCTGGAACCATGCTGAACTGCTTGAATGTGAGTATTAGCTTAGAATAGTTAGCTTTCTTATTTTCTTATGGGAACTGTTCTGGAATTGTCCTTGCCTCAAGATCTTTTATTTGCTTCACAATTCTTTTCACTGCTTTTGGGATTTTTGAAACTGCACCAGAGCACAGAGAGTTCTGACTCCTGTCCTCTGAAGATGCCAGCCAGAGAGACTGGTGAAACGTTAGAAAGAACAACCTTCAGAACACGGCCAAACAGCCCGAAAAACCTACAACAACCATTTTTGAAACTGTTTGGAACTTGATTCTTTTTTACTTCTTTTTGCAACATTTTCAATAAAGTTTTACAGCAGTTTGGTTATTTTGGGAAAAGAGGGTTATTGGTACTAAAGAAGGGCTTTACTTTGGCCACCTACTGGATACTCTACATTTTGTGGATACTTTGGTATTCCTACCTGGTAGGGTTGGCATACAGGCTAAAATGCTTAATTGCATGAATTTTTGGTAATTCCATGGAGCACTGAGTAGTCCGAGTGAGTGAAGAGGTTGGGAGGGGTTCCAGGCAGAAGGATTTTCCCCAGCCATCAGCACATTTGGTCCTCCTGGAATTTACCCACACCAGGAAAGCCTGGACAGTGTGGCTAAATGGGCAGTGTGCACCTCTCTAACCCAGCCATAACCTTGAGGAGCAGATTTATACTAATTCTTATTTTTCTGGTGATTTATTGATGTGGTTGTACAAAGATTAATGAATACTCATATAAGATTATAGACAGATCAATTTTGCACTTAAGGAGGACATGTGTAATGGATATTGTTATCTCTAGTTTCCATAAAGCTTGTGGAGATAACTGTGGGACTCTGTGGGACTATAGATGACTGGTGGGCAGGCACTTCTTGAATTGAACATGGAGATGCTGCAAGGTCTGTTTTTTCAAGGGAGACACTCCATACTCCCAGCTGTGAACTGTTACAACGCAAACAACAGGTTGAATTATGCTTTGGATTGTCCTTTGGGAGATTATATTTGCTAATTCCTACATATACCAGCAGCATCTGTAAACATCTAAAACAACCTGGTAATGAAAAGTACATCTCTTTGTACACACATGAAGAGGGAATGCCTCCTACAACTGCATTATATTGAGAAGATGTTGTGCGATAATCAGAAAACACACGATCCGTTGGTCTTGTAAGAGTTCTGGGTGTTTTTTCTGAACTTCCAGGTTCTTTTTCTACTACATCCTCCTGCTTTAGCACAGCATCTCCATCTGCTTTGCATTCTGCTCCTTCTGGTGGAATAAGGTCAAAGGGAGCTGGCTTTTTGCCTGAGAAAAGTGAATGATATCAAAATGACATTTGTTGCTTTCAGAGTGACAACAATCTATGTAATATTTTAACAAAAATAAAAAATAAAAAGGCTTCTACCACAATAAAAATATTCTATGAAGCAGGAAAAAAATTGCTGTAAGACCAGTAGTCTTAGGGATGGTCCATACTTGGTATGTACAGTAACTGGGCATCACACTATCATTAAATTCTCTGAGTTTGCCTGTGTATTTCACTGAAGTGCAAGTGCATTTTAAAAGTACATTTTTAAAAAACACAAAAAACGTGGAGTTAAGAAAACAAGCAATTAAAGAATGCATAGACAATGTGGATTTCTTTCTGCAAATGATTAATTAATGGCCAGTTTCTGCAATGTCAGAAGATGCAGGAGCCACTTGGAATCACAGATACTGGACCAGCTCACAAATATCTGTTTCAGAACATTTCAGCCTCCCAAGACACTCTATACATGACTTGAAAGTGACCATTATAGAAAGAAAAGAACTACAAAATGAAACCAAAAATAAATACGGCTGAGATAAGATACATACATAAATTCCACAGCATGTCAAAAGGATTTAATATCCATCAGGGATTCTGAGTTTATTACCAAATGTGAGGCTTTTCATTCAAATCAGGAACATTCCCCCAGTTTAGCACTTGTATCAATAAAGCTACTGTCACCTTGTAAACTCATTTTTGTGCCTACCCTCATACAACATGTTGATTGAAGTACTTTACAGCTTGATAGCCTCATTCTTGAGCTAATGAACTCAAGTATTTTTGTTAATTATCTATATTGAGTGCTGGTTATGGGGCTATGTGTAAATATATGTATCAGTTATATGTTTCCGCTCCAGTGTCTCAGGAAGTAGACTTGATCCATGGAAATTAATACAGAAATACAAGAGTTAGTCCTTAAGGCGGCACTGTGTTTTTGTTTTGCCTTTGTCTGGATATGCTTATACAGACTAATACACTGCTTTGAAAACCAAGGTGAACATTGTGATAGGCAATGGGCTTTTAGTGACAGAAAGATTTTCTGGATACTAGGGTGCCATGAACTGCTTTATTGTGCAGAGGGAAGCAGAGCTATCAAAGTCCCTTCCCTAGTTGGCAACTAAGCAGCCAACAGCAGATCTGTTCATATTAGATTTCTCCTTCCTTTAAACTGAAAAGAAAAATATAAAAAAACCTAGCCTTGTTGCCAAAAAACTAGATGAGATGTCAAATTCACAATTAGAATCTGGTAGAATGTTCTCCATTGAGGGATATAACCTCAGAGCTCTGTGCTTGAGCAATCAGTTGGAAATGGAATCCATATTTACCTCCCAATGACCCATCACAAAACAAAAGAAAGCTGTGGAAGTAGGAAAGCTTATGGTGGGATAGACAGATATCTTCACCCTCTTAAGGAAGTTTTGTTCTATAGGCTAACTGTGTTGCTTAGTAAGACCCACAGATGAAGGAGAAAAATAGCTCCTCAAAATTACCAGATTCCCATATCCCCAAGAGAGTTTAGGAAACAATCAATGAAAAAAAAATCCATATACTGGAATCAGATTTGGGGAGTAAATCATGTCTAAATGTTTACCATGTACCTTTGGTAATTATTTTTTCTTCATATTCCTGAAGAGACATTTTATCTTTCCAGTTAAGGAAGTTCACAAACTCTAGATAGTTTATAAAGCCATCTTTATCCAAATCACAGTAGTTAAATAAAGCATCCAACAGCTCTTCATCCAAGTCTAGATTAAGCTGAAAGCAGGTCTTTTTCAAGTCTTCCCTACTTATTTTCCGATCGCCATCCTAGAAAAATAATGCAATACATTTAAGAACACTATGATTCTTGTACTTTGAGTTTTCTATAGAAATTGACAGATACTTCAAGCAATCATATTTCTGTGAGAAAAAAATACTTTATATAAGAACATGGTTGACTAAATCAAAGGTTCACCTAGTTCAGCATCTTTTTTCTTTAGTGTCCAATCAGATGCCTCCAAGAAGGATAGAGTAATAAGGTAAAGGTAGGTAAAGGTTGCCCTTGACATTTAGTCCAGTCGTGTCCGACTCTAGGGCGGGTGCTCATCTCCGTTTCCAAGCAATAAACCAAGCATTTTGTCCGAAGATAGTTTCCGTTGTCACATAGCCAGCACGACTAGAGATGGAACGCGGTTACCTTCCCACCGAGGTGGTACCTATTTATCTACTCACATTTACATGCTTTCGAACTGCTAGGTTGGCAAGGAGCTGGGAGAAGTGACGGGAGCTCACTTTGTCACTTGGATTTGATCTTACAACTGCTGGTCTTCTGACCTTGTAGCACAGAGGCTTCTGCAGTTTAACCCACAGCGCCACCATGTCCCCATACAGAGTGATAGCTCTCTTCTATTGCTGCTCCCAAGCAACTGACATTCAGGGCATTGCCTTTGTAGGTCAGGCTTGGTAAGTCCAGGTGGATTTTGTATATAGGTATCTTTATTCACAAAATCACAACAGGATATAAGCCAAAGGCCATGTTTTCCTTTTCACATACAAGTAACTTTATGTTTGCAATGTTGAGATTTCTGAAGAACAGCACTGATAACTGAAATGTACAAGTATTTCACACAATATTCACAGAAAACACATGTGTTATCTTGGCAGAGTGCTAACCTTATCATAATGTCTGAAAGCTTGCAATAATGTATCAAAATTATGGTAATTAGCTTTCTTCAAATTCTGCCGAATTGCAGTAAAAACAGCCCGCTCTCTGTCTTTGCCACGAAGGAATTCACTTGGAAGTCTGTAATGAAGAAGGTCTCCAACACCTATAGAAGAAATAAATTATATCAGAACTTTGCCTGACCACGTTTTAGCTATTGTGTGACACTTTCACAAGAGCCTTGTCAATTCCTTTGTGCCATATCATCTCTGCGTGCAGGCAAGAACATGGTTGGAAGAAAGTTTGTTCTCTGCAGAGGCAGGAATTTATTTATTTATATATGTATTACTACAGCACTCAGAATCCCAGACAGTACTGGCCATGGGATGCTGGGAATCTATAGAGAAGAAAGCTGTTTTCCTTCTCTAGTTGTACATACATGCACTCTGGCTTTCAATCATTCAGTGTCCAAGGCAAGTTACCCCAAAACTGAACCCATTATACAAATTAAAAGATCATTTATAGACAAAGTGTGCAAAGCAAACTGTACTGCTCATATACCTCCCCATAGTGCTTAAACTCTGGGCAGTATACAATTTAATTATGCAGACCACACACTGGGTCCTCAATTTACCAACCTCAGAAGGATAAAAGCTGGCTACCTGAGCCCAAAATTTGAGATCATGAGCAGAGCCTACACTGCAGTTCTGCAATTTAACCACTGCACCACAATAATAAAAGCAGCAAGGAACAGCCGGCAAAATATTGAGAAAGAAGAGAAACCAAACTGTATAGCTGCCTAAAGAGCAAGCAAGATTAAATTTCTAAAATCTTTGGAAATCTAAGGGGAATTTAAAAAGTTTGTACCTGAAGTAGAATAGAGATCAAAATAGGTGTAATAAGAGAAGGCTACTTCGAGGGAAGATTCATTACTAACAATGCCTTCTTTTTGGTCACCCCACCCTCCGCCATGCCTGACAGCAGAGACTCAAAGCGTCTCCAACACAATGTACTCACCTTGTGAACAAGCCTATATGGAAGTAAACTGCTTCTTCAGCTACTCAATGTCCAAGCCAGGAAATGCTTGGGGGAGGGGAGTCAACTATTATTTGCAGTATTCCACAGCCAGCATGGTCACTGGCCATGTAAGCTGTGAGGCTCTGAGAACCCAAACATTCCCCATTCTCTCTCCAAAAACAATTCAAAAGTCCTTTCAGCAATTCACTGAAATTATCTAAGTATTAGCAAGATATGCCACTCCTGGTTAGCAATCTTGCAGAGTTGTTTTAGAATACCTGGGTTTCTGAATTGTCTTACAAGACTCCAGGTATAATGCATTGTAACAGACTCAAGAGCGTGAAGATTTCTTTGTATTTAAGGTCAGACTATCCCATTTAAAATGAATATTGGCTCAATTGTATTAAATTCATACAGGAGAAAAAGAAATGGAGCAGCAACGTCCGAACTGTAAAATGACATGAAAGAAGCAGGTTACAAGATGGAAGTGTGAACAATACCAAAGGCCACTGAAATACTTGCCATATTCCTCAGGACGTATAAGCATTCCAAATGTATGGTCTGGAGGAACATTGAGAGTATCAGCAATGCTGCATATATATAAAAAAAGTCTGTTAGATAAACGTTTGATTGTTCACCCAAGTGTAATCTTTATATTAGCCATGATAGATATTGTCTGTCTGTCAGTTCACCTCTTGTTCTGGAACTGAAGATTAAAGACAAGTGATGAAACATTTGTTAAGAGTTCACCTGAAATACACTCCTTAGGGCTCTACTACATAAATCAAAGCCACCGCCACAGATAATCCTAAATTTTACAACCCATTTTTCTTTTCATACACAGTAATAACTGTCAGAAATATTTGCACGACATGCAGTAAATGTCTTTGATCATGATGCTTCTATTCCTTGGGAGAGAGAAAAAAGAACCCAAGTAGCAATATGCTATTTCTTATTTAACAGATATAAGTGTGCATGTAGAATCTTCAATGTTTCTGTTAAAAAAGAAAGACCTCCCCTCCAAAGTAAACTAAACACACATGACAGTTTAGGAAAACTGATACAGATAAGAAAAACATTGTACTGACAACATAAGATATGGGGAATATGTATTTCTCCAAATCATATTTAACTACTAATTCCATGAGCCCTAGATAGCACAGAGACAGCAGAGCTTAGAAGTACAGTGGTGCCTCGCTTGACGATTACCTCGTTAAATGAGGAAATCGCTTGACGATGAAGTTTTTGCAATCGCTTTTGCAATCGCAAAACAATGTTTTAATAGGCAAAAATCACTTAACGAAGATCGGTTCCCTGCTTCAGGAACTGATTTTTCGCTTAACAACGATCTTTACAGCTGATCGTCAGGTCTTCAAAATGGCCACCAGCTGTTTAAAATGGCTCCCCGCTGTGTTTTAGGATGGATTCCTCGCTTTACAGGCACCGAAAATGGCTGCCCTATGGAGGATCTTCGCTGGACGCTGAGGTATTTTGCCCATTGGAACGCACTGAAACAGTTTTCAATGTATTTCAATGGGCTCTTTCGTTTCGCTTGATGAGGATTTCGCTTAACAGGGATTTGAACAGAACGAACTATTCTTGTCAAGCAGGGCACCACTGTAAACTATTTTACTAAGAAGTTACTTTAATAAGAAGTTACATTTTTGAGTAAGAAGGCTGAATGACTTTTTCTTTCCTGTAGGTGACATGGCTTTAACTACTTTTAAGTGGAATGAGAACATTATATTCAGATGAAGGAAGAATGAAAATTGTTGAAACATCAAGAATTTAAGATCTGTAGATGATGCCGTCTTACTGGCAGAAAGCAATGACTTGAAATGACTTCTGATGAAAGTGAAAGAAGAAAGGAAAAAGCAGGACTGCAGCTGAACATTAAGGAAGCAAAAATCATGGCAACAGAAAAACTATAGAGCTTCAATGTTGGCAATGATAAAACTGAAGTTGTCAGAGATGATGTATACCTTGGTTCAATCAATCATCAATCCAAATGGAGACTGCAGCCACGAAATCAGAGGAAGATTCATAAGGGCAGCAATGAAGGGACTATAAAAGATCATAAAGTATAAGAATGTGCCATTGGAGATGAAGACCAAAATCATCTACACTATTGTACTCCTGATTACTATATATGGATGTGAAAGCTGGACAGTGAAGAGAACCGACAGGGGAAAAAAACCCTGAATACCCTGGAGAGCCAGACAGATGAAGAAACAGATCTTAGATGAGATCAAGTCTGAATTTTCTCTGGAAGCAAAAACAGCAGAACTGAGGCTGCTGCACTTTGGGCACATCATGAGAAAACAAGACTGACTGGAAAAGAAAAAAAATGCTGGGAAAAGTTGAAGGCATAATGAAAAGAGGAAGATCAAATATGAAAGTGATTAGCTCTATAAAGTAACTCACAGCCTTGAGTTTGCAAGAGCTGACCATAGCTGTTAAAAGACAGGACATTTTGCAGGTCATTCATTCATGGGGTGGCCATAAATACTAGATGACTTGATAGCACCTAATAATAACAACATTTGCTTGTTATTTATTCCTGTTGTGGGGTGCTGAACTAAACAGCAGGAGGAGGCAAGGAAGAAGGATCAAAAGTGTGGAGGACATGGGTTTTCTGCATCACCCCCCCTTCCTGGGCCAAACATAAACATGTCTGTTTTGAAAAAGGGCCAACAGTGAGAAGTGCATGTGCACACATGGTCTTTGGTCCTTTGAAGAAATGCCCTATGAAATCCAATCCACAGCAGCCTGAGCTGTAACTTTAAACAACATTACTGTTTTTTGCTTACATCTGAGAAAGACTGTCTGGTGAAATTCATCTTGCCAAGAAGTTTTGGACTTTACATCAAAGAGTGCCTGGCAAAATCCATCTTGCCATGAGCATTTGGACTTTTAATACTTTGCCTTGAAGAAGTGGGATTTACCCACAAAAAGCTCAGATATGGTATGATTTTTAAAAAAAAATTAGTGGTCTATAAAATTATCACCTACTCTTGCAAGTGTGGGTCACTTTCTGCTCTTACTTCTCCCCTGCCTCCTTTTGTTGTTGTGGAGGTATTGGACAGCCAGCAAAGATGAGACAGAAGGACAAGACAAGAGGGAGTAGCAGTGAGCAATGGGGCAATTAAAAGCAAAGCCTGCCCTAAAAGAAGAGGAAAGAGGGAAATCAAATAATCCAAGGACAGACTGGTGGCAATGGGAGAATCTGTTGTGGGCTCTCCAAATGAAACAGAACCTTTGCCTCTGTAAGCTGTTTCCATTTGCAAACTCACCAGACACTTTGTAGGATTTTGCTTTTGCTCATTGTCTCTCTCCTCAAAACCTTCTGTTTATCTCCCTCTTCTCTATTTCAAAGCAAATCATAAAAGGACAACCCCATTGGTTAATTCCCCAATGCCCAGAGTGAGAGGCCATTAAGACTGAAATCTTATGTACTCTGGGACTCTCCTACGGAATTCAGTAGGATTTATTCTCCATAGACTTAGTAGGAGAGAATATGCCATCTGGCATATAAGGATGTATGAAGTAAGTTCAGGTGCTTTCCTAAACCGGCAATACGTTCTTGCCAAACTAGATGTTTGCAGGGTAACACAGATTAGCTTTATACTTTTTGCTCTACCAATGTAATTTACATGCAGCAATTTGTACTCTGACTCAGCACAGCTGAATTCCTTGTCTCCTAAATGAGAACCACTGTGTACAAATAAAGATCTGTAATTCACATAACCTGCTCATTCTCTGTGGATGGGTTTTAGTTTCATTATATCACATAGTAAAATGTAAAATCTGTTAATTACTGTAGAGAATTATTGGGTTATATAATAGACTATGGACACACACACACATATCCATCCCAGGCTTTTACAGTAGTTTCCCATATATAGTTTCCTATATATATAAAAAAAATCACAGGAACCTTAAAAATATAACAGTGACTGCATTGTTTGGAAAATAATACAGAAACACCCTGTGAGGTGGTCTGATGACTTTTCTGCTTAAAGTTCCTAGTGAATGGAATTGGACCTTCAGATCTCAGGCATCTAATTTTGAAGGGTCACTGAAATTCAACAAAGGATTTGTTATACAATTTGTTCAAATTATTAATATAACATATGTAGCTTTTACTGTCAGAGAAAAAGAGAGTCTGAAAGGTTTTCTTAGGTTAACCTGATAGTACTTTTGTGCACTTCTCAATCATATAACTGTAGGGATAACAATAATACAGCTATAATGAGCATTTCAATGGATTAGTTTCTAGGGCTGCAGTAATGCTACTACTAATGACCTGCTGCCCAAGAAGATTAATAAGCAATGTAGCATATTGTGATTTTATGAAAAGAACTGTTCCAAGCTCTCGATGAGAGATGAATTGCAGTCTAACATCTGGACAAAGATGAAAAACATTTGTGTCTTTTTGGACTACAACTCCCATGTTCCATATTCTAATGCTAGAATATTTAATAAAAAGGTTTTCAGATCATATCTGCAACTTGCTAAACTAATGCCTTGATTTCTAGAATCACCTGAAGAAAAGGAATAATTAACATTTAAGCAAGCCATTTTTGAAAGAAGAGGAACCAACCATAGAGGAACCAATAAATACTATACTCACTTATTCAGCCCTAAAATTACTTGTTGCAATGCTTCTTTCTCTATCTCCCTATTCAAGACCAAATTAAGCAACAAACACATGGCCATTGCTTCTCTGTGATTCCTTATGAACATTTTTATAACCTCTAGTTCAAGATGGCATGCAATCTGAAAATATCACACCCTGGGCTTCCCTATGCCACTGCCCATAAATAAGTCAAAAGAGAGGAAAGAAATGTGGAATTTAAGCCCATCTCTGTATTACTGGGAGATGGAAACTGAGGTGTGGGTGGATGACATCTAGTTTGGGTCATTGCTTCCTTAGGTCACAGCATAACTGTCAGCTAGTTTGCCTTTTTAAGTAATAGGAATGTATGGCCAATGGTGAAGCTTATTTTTTAAATGACAGGCATGTCCTATAGCTAAAAGGCAGTATCTTGGCAGTTTATCTGTAGGAAGAATTGATGTTTTAAAGCATCCCATGGTCTCTCCAGAGGATTAATTTAGTATATAACAGTGGAATGACTTCTTACGACAGGTTTCTGTATGATATTAATCATATAAAACCTGTAATGACAACCTGCAACACCTGGCATCACTCACAATGTGGCAAAGGTTCACACAGCTCTGCCAGTTACCATCCTCTCAGCCTTTCACTGTCTGAAATAGTATCTCAAAATGGGAGCCAAGGTGATGATGAGATTCTGTGACTTGCCACACAATGACAGATGCTAACAATTTGAAATTTATCAAGTCAGTAGCAGTTTTCTGCCAAGAAGAAACAATGAAAGAAAGAAAACTCTATCACAAACAGCCAGCTCATTTGTAAATTGTTGCTAACATCTATTTCTAATGGTCCATTGTGAAGAGTCCATCTTAATTCACTTACGGATCAAGGACTTTTCCGAGTTGGGGCTGAAATTTTTCCTTGAAATCATCACTGATTTTAGAGACTATTTTGGCTGATTTCTTCCTGAAGAGTTAAAAATATTATTGAAAAATATTAAATTGTATCAACACATTACAATATGAGGGGATAAGAGACCTTTAATAAGAAATCCTTCCTAAAGCTAAGTTATTACTTTTTAAGCAAATAAGGTTCTGATAATGTAGTATACATTATCCACGAGTTCTTTAAATAAAACCAAATAAGATGTTGATTATTAAAATTATTGGAAGTTAATATTCAAGACGCTTACTAAACAAGTCATGCTAAGCCTGTATAGGAAAAAACTAATTGAAGACAATTCTGACAGGCATGTTCTGGAAGGAATTCTCAGTTAAATGAGGTGAAAAACCAAAATCTCTGCGGTGAATTTAATATAACACAAAAGAATCTCAAAATCCCACTCATGTTAAGTTATTCAGTTCAGATCTAGGAACTTCCTAGTGAAAACCATGTGCTCAGCTTTGTTATTGTAGGCTTCTTGATGGTTTGCCAACAGTGTGAGCACTAAGATTATCCATATGTCTATTCAAAAGCAGTAGAATATGAAGAATAGGTAGAATATGGATAGAATCATAATGTGAATATTGGAAAATAGTAGAGAGCTCAAAATGGAAGTCTTGAAGGTCTTTCTAGTCATAGAGGCTTACAAATTTAATCAGTCACCAAAACAAGACGTTCATGATCCCCAGTACTCAAATATCATGTAAAGGGGAAGATAAGTGACTACAGCAACAGAACACATCAGCTATACCCCTAGATTGACAGTATCCTAACAACCTGATATTATGTGTATTCTAATTCTGGAATATACTGCTGTTCTAGGGCTGAGCGATATGGCACCAGCAAGCATCTGGTTTTGATTCTATGACAGAGCAGCAAACTTTGATTTACTTAATTTATTATTATTGTATTTTTACTTCCAGGGAGGCAAAGATATGCTTGTGAGATATTCTATTACACTTCCCCAAATCACCATGGCTGGTCTTAGGGACTATGCATCTCGATATTGTCCAGTATTGCGGAGAATATATATACAAAATATCTCAGACTGCAAAGTATCTTTGGATGGTCCTGGCTTGTTCAATATGATGAATCATGAGAATGTCACAAAACATACAGATTCAGGATATGCTATGACAGATTCAAAACATGTATCAGAAAAGAATGACTGTGGAAACAGCCAACCATTCTCAACTTACATTTGCAGATCATGGAACCAGCGTAATGTTCTAGCTACATTTCGTCCATTATTACAGTGGGGTGTTTCTTTTCCATAAAGATTAAATCTGTTGAATGTAGATGGGTCATATTTCCTATTTATTGGCTCCCCTACAAAAATAAGGATAATCTATTATTATACATAAAGGAGCTCTATATTACACATTATCAAAAATTAAAATGAGTATTTTGGTCCAAGGCCAGCCCCAGGCTATTATGAGACCTGTTTAACATCATCGCCAAAATGGATGAGGAAATCTGTGACTTTCACATGCTGTTAGTCTCTGGTACCCATCTTCACCAGCCACCATGGTCTATAGTCAAAGATTATATAAATTATTATATAGCTTTAGTGCAGTAGATCATCAGGAAAGGCTCCATAGTCCAAGCCCCAAGGAAAATCCACAAAGGCAAGAAGTTGAGTTGGTCCATTACATATCAGAACACAGGAAGCAGCATAATACTCACTTTAGTGGTATTTGCATACAAATCATAGAAGGGGTGATGGCTTGAGTGTCAGACTTTGGAGACCTAGATTCACTCCCTTGGTAAGCTGTGCAGTTCAACTAGGTGACCTTGAGCCAGTCACTATCCAAGACAATCCTACTTCAGAGGGTTATGATGATAAAGAAGGAGCAGGATAAGCTATGCCAAGACCAGTGGATGAAGGATGAATATAAATGTCACCATAATTAAAATAATGTGAAGTGTATAAAGTAGATTGCCATTTCATGAGCAGGCAAAACTTATAATTAACTACAGTATTTTGATTTTATTTATCAGAGATTCTGAGACAATGTTATTATGTATCACACAACTGAAGAAAAGAAGAGCCATCTTAGTGTCTTTTAGTGCCAGAAACATTCTCATCAAGTAAATCAATGAATACAGCAGAAAGTACATTCTTCATGTTCAGCTTCACAACACTGAGAAACAGCAGTCCTCCAGATGATGTCATTAGTCCTCATGTAAAAAAAAGTTCTAGGGCTATGGATATTCATGATGCACAACTGTTTATCAAATGTATTATATGGATGCCAATAAAACAGAATCCTTATTACACAAACTAGCTGTGAAGAAAATGATCATTTTGCTATGCACTTTTGTAATATGCAGAAGTCATTTTTATGTGTAAGCAGCTTTTGCTTATCCTTGAGCCCCTACTTACCAACATAGTAATCATTGTGAGTTGCAACATACAATTCATGTCCTTGTTCTGTTTCTCTCTGGACTTCATCAAATGTCTTCCGTGGATTTATAACCTCTCCCCCAGGACCCTCTGAAAATCAACCAATATAGAGTGAAATGATCTAATAAAATATTCTAAAATTTTGCATGGATACAGAGCAATATCTTTAGGGGTGACTCACATAACTTTCTTCTGAAGGTTTTTTTAAGTAAGCCCCTATGAATCGACAAATAAATTTGTGATTTGTTGGTTCATGGGGGGAGCTTTGTGCTTTGTCAACTTTGACGAATCACAAAGCAGGACAACTCACCAAAATGGTGAGTTGTCCCTATTTCTATTCAGAACCCGGCTGTACAATGCAGTACATCAGTCTTCAATACAGAACACACACTTATATATGACACTAGCAGGACTAGATGGATGGATGTGTCATATATTATCCTACAGTAAAAAACATACCCACATATACTATTAGAAACAGCATAAAACAATCCTAAAATACATAAAGGTCTCTATGTGTCTGTAAAGGCAAAGGATTTTGACATTCACTGTGCCATGAGCACCTTTTTCTAGGCATTTCTAATCCAAAATCGAGAGTCATCCCACTAATCCAATAGTTTCCAGTCCCCCACTTCTTATCATTATTAAGGGTGGGTGGGGGAGCAGGACAGTCACAGTCCTAGCTGGTTTTCTTGTTGTTCCACTTCTTATCATTATTAAGGGGGGAGAGTCACAGTCCTAGCTGGTTTTCTTGTTGTGCTCTCTGGCATCAGCTGCTCTTGCCTACAGCTGAAAAGCAGGAAAACAGCGCTCATAAAAGCAACTTCAGTTTGAAAGAAAAAAGGAATAAAAACATCTGAGAGCAAGGGCTTCCTTATTCCATCTTGGGAGAAAACTAAGAGGCTGCTGAAATAATGTGTGGAAACTAAGAAGATATTTGTGAGCTCAAGGCTGTTAGTGCTTAGGCTTTTTTAAAACTGACTTGTGTAGCTGCACATGTTTTATACATTGGTTTTGCTTACTGCCATTCAGCTGAAATACTGTAGAGAGCCAGCCACAGGCTCATTTGATTGTTTTTCAGTGACAAATTCATCTTTGTATCAGAAGTTATTTTCTACTGACCCAACAGCTACTCTTCATTTCAGTGGCATTCACCCGAAACCTTGTTCTGCTTGGAGCACAACTGCATTTTTAACGTCAACATTAAATTATAATCTGCAATGACACTGTATTCCAGCACTGGTTTTCTTACCTCTGAAGGTTGTTACTCCAAATCGTGTGCTGGCCAGATCCAGTCCTTTAGGTAATCTTAATGACTGATCATGGGATTTCCCAAGGGGAGCTTCACGGCTGCTTAAATAAATGGACTCACTCTTCTCTTTCAGTTTTTGCTGAAAACAGGTCTTGGGAGATGGGTTTGCCAGTGATGCTACCTGAGGAAATTCACACAGTAGCACACTTCCTAGTTCCTACATTCAGGTGGCACAGTGGCACTTACTAATTTAATTTTTAAAACAAAGCCACATCTTATATTTAATTGCCCGTTTAACAAATAATATAACTAATTGTAGATGCTTAGCCCTTAATTGTTATTTTTTGAGACTACAGAATGCCTAACATACATCAATAGCTGAAAAACAGGAATAGTCAAATTTCAGAAATATACTAACAGAAGCTATAACATCTCAAGTCAGTATAATCTTTTTTTTAACTATGGAAAGTGCCTCTACCTAATTTTTGGGAATTCCACATACTCCACCATATCACAGTACATCCAACTTAGTAAGATCTCGGTGTGTACCATTTGCAAAGTGTTGGGGATTGTTAGAAAGAGGAAGGGTCGGGCAGGTCTGCTTTGGCTAGACCAGTTGCCAATGCCCACAGCTAAATCTTGATCCAACTCATTGTATGTACTGTATATCTGTATGTTTGTTTTATGAAGGTGTATCTTGCCTTTCAGAAAATAATGTATACTCTACCTTCCCATCTAAAGAAAGCAGACTGTGTATACTCCATCCACAATCTCAGAAGCAGATGAGTTATGACTAGGGGTCAAAATAAAAGTGGAATCATATATTTCCTGCTTAACCAGTGTTCCCCTCTCACAATAGGATTTCCTTAGAGATGCACGCCTCAAGAATCAGACTTGCACATTCAATTCAGCCTGTGTGTCCCTTCCAATCGATTTGCACCAACTGTGAAATGAAAATGCTAAATGCAAAATACACCTATGAGAAAAATGATGTGCAGGAACAGATAGATGTATTTTGCTACTTGAGGGAGCTTACCTTCTAAAGATGTGCAAAGCATAGAGTCTAGTTTTACTTAAAGAGAGTACATGGAGAGGAAAGTGATGGCTCAGCTTTCTCCTGGTCCAGTTCCTGTTGCTGCTGCTTCCCTTTCCTTGATGTTTGGCAGAATGTCAAAACAGAGTGATTCTTCCCTGGGCAAATTTAGCAACCATGGTCTATGCAAAGCAATGTCCTAGTTCAAACAGGTTATGTGCAGGGGCTTGAATCATTCAAGAAACATTACAGAAATATAAACTGTAATTTTGTATGAAAGAGTCATATGTTAGTTTATATCCAATTAATATGCCTTACGCACAGCTAATGACAATAGTGGTTCATGGCCATAAAATGAAAGATAATTTTTCTACTGAGAAAAAGAAAAGATTTAAAATTCTTACACTCTCTGAAGGGACGGATTTTATACCATGGGTCAAATACGATGCAATATCAGGATCATTTGCTCGGCCATAAAATACTCTTTCTCTACCAGTAGGAGGATTGCTGGTGTTTCTAAACTTTTCCACCACAGGTGGAGTAATTGGCTACAAGGCAATAAGAAAAATGTTTTATAATACATGCTACAACAAACATTTGCATTTTATAAATTATAGAAAGCTGTGTCAGTCTATCAGAAAAAGACAGGTTTGGCAATGGTCATGAATGACGACCCTATGTTACTTTCAGAAAAATCAAATCATGCAGAATCAGGTCATACAAAAGCTCGAATTGCTTTAAGAAGATTCTAGATTTTACAACAGGGGGAGGGGGACACAGGGGCCTGGATTAAAATTACGTTAATCTAAATAAAATAATGATCAGCCATGTGGCACCTTTACAGTGTAATACTTTACAGTGTATTACAGTATAAGTTTCTGTGTATCTAATTCCTCAGACACATACAGTACAGTTTTGGGGCTTCAGATATATATGTCCAAAAAACATAGCTGTGGGGAAATAAGAGCAAATTTAAATGCAGAATTACCACCAGTGACAATTACATTAACATATACATTCTGGCACTAGGTGGCATAGTAAGAATCTGTTACTGGATGCTGAAACTATCTAACAGAGCAATCGTTAACAGTTTTAATTTATTTTCCAGTTTGAAAGGGATGTCCGCTATGGTTAAAGCCCCAGGGAATTCATAAAGTCATTGCTGTGAACACCACATATGTTGTTGTTTAGTTGTTAAGTTGTGTCCGGCTCTTCGTAACCCCATGGACCAAAGCACGCCAGGCCCTTCTGTCTTCCGCTGCCTCCCGGAGTTGGGTCAAATTCATTCTGGTAGCTTCGATGACATTGTCCAACCATCTCATCCTCTGTCGTCCTCTTCTCCTCTTGCCTTCACACTTTCCCAATGTCAGGGTCTTTTCCAGGGAGTCTTCTCATGAGATGGCCAAAGTATTGGAGCCTCAGCTTCAGGATCTGTCCTTCCAGTGAGCACTCAGGGTTGATTTCCTTCAAAATGGATAGGTTTGTTCTTCTTGCAGTCCAGAGGACTCTCAAGAGCCTCCTTCAGCACCACAATTCAAAAGCATCAATTCTTCGGTGGCCAGCCTTCTCTATGGTCCAGATCTCATTTCCATTGGTTCCATTGAACACCGCACATAACATATAAAAATACATCCAGATTCCTAAAAACTGTATTTCATGGATCTGAGAAGGTGGGCTTTATGTCTGAAACCTGAAGGTATAATACTATGAAGGTAAAATTGTTTAGGTTGTTACTGAGTTTCATTGCATTTCATCCTTTAAGTATTTTATTCCTGTGTCTCCCATATATGTATATTATTTCTGTGTTGTGCACTGTTCTGGGTCTCTTTGGAGAGAAGAATGACATACAAAGTAAAATAATAAATAAGTTAATAAATAAATACATCTGTTAGCCTTAAAAGTGCCACATGCATCTTTGTTACACTGATGCAGTAACACTTAACACAGCCAACACAGCCCCCTGTCACCTTGCAATTTGTATATTAGTTGAAAAGCATATCTCCTGATACCCCTCCCCTGAATCTGGCATTTTGAGGGACCTTCCTTTAATCCTGGAATATTACAAGTTTATTCAGCATATGTTGTAGTGGATTACACCCTACTTCTTCATATTATCAGTCCATGAAACCTTAGGCCAGATAAACCATTCTTCATATGCCACAAAACTGTGCTGCTAATTTGACATTTATGGAAGGGAAGTTCCCCATGTTTTCCTTCCACCTGCAGCTGTCTCATATTCACCCCACACTGTTCAGAAGGCATTTCCAATCCTATAGAAATATTTTTTAAGTGTTACAAGGTGCTGCAGATGTTCTCTCTGTTCCTTTTTTTAAAAAGATCCACAGAGTTGTTGTTATTTAGTCATTAAGTCGTGTCCATGGAAGGGAAGTTCCCCATGTTTTCCTTCCACCTGCAGCTGTCTCATATTCACCCCACACTGTTCAGAAGGCATTTCCAATCCTATAGAAATATTTTTAAGTGTTACAAGGTGCTTCAGGTGTTCTCTCTGTTCCTTTTTTTAAAAGGATCCACAGAGTTGTTATTTAGTCATTAAGTCATGTCCAACTCTTTGTGACTCCATGGACCAGAGCAC